TTGAAGTATTAGACAAAGATAACACAAGTAAACACAAAATGCAGTTTTTAAATGAAGGTTTTTATGATTAAGGGAAAAAAAAATCCAAACCCACTATATATACAGATTGAGTGTCCCAAAAAAAGTACAATGGAGCAACATGCTGTCCATAGACGAGCAAAAGAAGAGCTAACAGTTCTATCCTAGGGCAGCATTATACACCCTGACAGACACAGTCGGCTCTGACCTTTCTTGTACAGGGCATCGGTGCTACCACACCACTCAAGCTTATCATCCAGGTGTACCCCTAAGTACTTGTAGGACTGCACGCCCTCTATGTCCTCACCCTGCATGGAAATAGGGTTCAGCGGAGACTTCCTTCCTTCCTTATTCCTGTCACATTATTTCCAGTAGAAAGAATACACTGTGGCCATTAGGAAAAAGAAATGTCATTCCCCTGTGTATAATCATATGTAATTATGGAAACATGCATACATATTGTAAATATAATACATAATGAATATAATTACAAATGAGATTAGTATTTTACAGGTTTTTTTTACTAATAAAATGAACACTTTTAAACCATTACTGACTTTGGTCAGTATTTTATTTAAACAATACTCTTACATTCAATATAAAAAGGATGTTGAAAAACAGCTTTAACCAAATTTAAGGACACAATCCACTTCCTGTACTTCTTCAAAAAAAGTGGGTAGACAGTAGAATGTTTTTAGCATAAATCTCTTCTAGCATTCAACATGTTAAACAAATTGCAACACACAGACTTCAGTCACTGTGAATTGTCTCTGTAGATTATCACAATACATTATCATGTACCCCTACTGTTTATATTTTCTAAAAAAACAGATTAATTACCAGCCTGATAAGCAATTTATTCATGGGTGAGTTTTTTAACTAAAATGTGAATCAATAAATCTTGGTTTCATAGATCAAGAGGTAGATTTCCTGTCCTAATCATAAGTCCAGTATTCTTTAACTATAAATAGAAATAATTAAATAACCAGCGAGGACAAATACTGTAGGTACAGTATGTAAATGTATGTTACAGATTTGTAATGTAACATGCTGTATTTGCTGTTGTGCAAAATCAGGAATTTAAAGGCTGGTTAACGTACAAAATATCTGCACACTTTGATGCTCACTGTGAAAATGCAATGTGGAAAACCTGATCGATCAAACTGATTTTTTTTTTACTAATGAATTCATTGAAAAAAGTTGAAATCACTAAACAAATACTGCATGGGAGCACTAGAGGGAGATATAAACCTGTATGCTACAGTATCTCAATAGTAATTACTCAGGATGGGGAGGTGAGTCAATGTGCGGGCCTGCTAAGGAGTAAAAAGGATAATTCCACACTGAAAGGTCAGGCGTTTTCAGGCCTTCAAATATGCAGTGTTTTTTATTTCTATCACCAGTAAACACACAGAAATAGCTGGAGTTATTTGTTATACAGTAAATTCTAAATTTGTGTCTGATATGTTGGACAATAGAAAACAAACTTCTGAGAGACAAAACTCACCCCTTTTACTGCTTTAAAGTACATTTAGACTTAAACCTGAAAATAAAATAAAAAAATGAATGTGCTGTAGCAGTTATTGGCTAATATGGAAGTCGTTGTTTTAATACTTTGATTTTCTTGGGAAGCTCTTTATTATCATCATCAATTGTTTTAATTATACATTAAATATTTCTTACTGCCTTCATAACTTGAAAAATTACACAATTCTCGATTTTTTTTTTTATATCTGATGCCCGTTACGGTTGATCCGGTCCTTTAAACGTTGACTAGAAAAGAAATCCAGCACTCAACTTCGTATTTCATATTAATTTCTAATTTTATCTCGAATCAGATGCACAAACAAAACTTAGCGATTACCGTTATGTTTAGTTTGTCTCAAAAACTAAATTTAAAATGTTCAAAATGTTTATATATGTCACAAAACAGCTATCAAATTACTAATTATACAGCAATATACTGTGTGCAGTACTAGACTGCAGGAATGCTAAGTGACCACATGGCGGAACCACATACACGTTATTTTACTATGCATGCTGTTAAAAATGAACAACTGCAGTTGTGATACACTGGTTTCCTTGTGTTTTTTAATATTTTAATATGATTTTACTACAAATGAAAGAGGGATGTGAAGAGATCATAACCTATCCAAAAATAAACATTTTTTTTAAAATAAGAATATAGACTTTTGATGGCATGACAAATCCAGAAAGTTACACTGGTTAGGAAGGCTTTATAAAGCTGTATAATAGATGTGATAGATCCATATTTATTTATTTTACATTTTTTCATAGATATTTATTTACTTGACTTTGATAATCCTTAAAGCTTTAGTGGAGATCACTTACATAGACCATACGTTCCTCACAAGAAAACAATTAAATCTTTTGTAGCAGGTGCATAGACATTTCATTGGACCAACATGCATTAGTTAAATTCATCATATTTATGAAAGGTTATCATCATCAGGATTGATAAGCAGCGGGTTTATAAACTATAACCAGGATGGCTAAACTATGATAGTAACAGCAGGAAAGTCTCATTCCTCATTCCTCAGAGCCTGGACAAGCACATCCCATTCTCACCCCACAGATGTTCAATGAGGCAAGAGGGTTATCCAAAGCATAGCTGTCACATTCTCATCTGGCAGGATGAGGTCAATGTAGCACCGTAAAGTCAGTTAGCAACTAGTCACTACAAGGGCAGTTCTGTGGTGACTAGATAATCAACATTCAACAGGTTAAATCACCTCATCTCCTGTGCCCCATCAACTCCCCCATTAATGAGGTTATTAAGTTCTTACACAAGTCAAAGTTGTACAAGAATATCATGCTCAATTATGCATGATCATCCTTTATTGGCTTCACCGCTCTGTTCTCCTCCCCACTGATAGCTGATGTATGGTGACCGTTCTGGCACATTTTGGTTGCCGTCGTATCATCCAGGTGAGGGCTACACATTGGTGGTGGTGGAGGGGAGTCCCCATCACCTGTAAAGCGCTTTGAGTGGAGTGTCCAGAAAAGCGTTATATAAGTATAAGCAATTATTAATTATTATTATCCATTTCCAAACTGCTTTATCAAGCACAGGGTTGCGGTGGGGGGCCATAGCCTTTAGTTTATCTTTTGTTATCCATTTAATTCATAAGTGCTATAAAATCTTGTGGCATAACATTTTTGTAAATATACATGTGATTTAATAGAGCCAACAAAGGGCTTGTTAAGCAATATCTAACCATGTTTGTGTTATCACCAAAAACAATGATTATTATTAATTATTATTAAATTGATTAAACTTTGCAGCTACTGTATAAACGACTGTAGGTGTCTGGCATTTTTCTTCTGCATGTATCCATTTTGCTTAATCCAGACTGGACAGACATTACGACTATAAATAAACAAGTTAAATAACACTGGTACTGGAAGTGTGATAGACCTGATGCACAACCAGGGCAGTATCAAGGGCGTGCAGATACAAAAAGTAACAAAGTGATCAGAAAACATGAAGATGATGTATCCCTGGTTGTAGAATCTACTAGCAGGTCAAACAAGAAAGACGGGTATACAGGCAAACAAAATAAAGTGTAGCATTTTTTATACAATAAATTATTTCTAAATATGTTACAATTGCTTAAGATAATGAGTTTTCAATGATGAAATTGTGGAATAAAATGTCACTGGTGACTTCTGCTTAGTCATTTGTAAACACAGTGTTTTATATTTTTATAATAATGTAGGTACCTTGGTTTTTACCTCCCCATGGAGAGATGTAATAATACATGCAGTCCAAGGGGGAAAGATACTGTATTTAAATAATGTCAGGCACAGGAAGAGTAGGTCTACAACTGAAGTGTGTGATTTCAGTGATTACACATTGAACGGTAAGGACAAAATGTTAATCTGCTTTCTCTTACAGCTCAGCTCACTTGACTCAGTATGACACAGGATGGTTAGAGAAAAACACAGAAAAAGACTTTCTCTCATTGAGGGTCTGTAATATAATTCCAGATGTCTCAACAGTAATTTAACAAAGTGAGTTTTAAGAACACAATATCTCTAATACGTGCTTACATTGAAACACTTATTAGAAAAATATTTTTCCTCATTAATATTTTTGGTAAATAATAGATAAATCTGTTTTGAATATTGCACAAACTCTTCAGTGTTAGTCTGTTTTATCCATCCATTACATACTGTATAACTAATCTGTATGGCCTAATTAGTTCTTCACACAACTGAAGAAGACTCCTCAGATCAAAAGATATTTTCTTATTTTGTTTATACTTGCAGCTCAAATTCTCAGGCAGTTCCCTACCCTGAGCTCTTCATTATACTGCACACGGTTTATTTTTTGTGTTTATAAATGTTGAGCTTCA